GACTTCCTGTAGGTAGAGTGCAGGCAGAGGCATCTTGGAGAAGGAAGAAAAAAAGGAACCAGGAGTATAAGAGACAGAACCATGAAAAATATGGAAGGAGACGAAATTACTTCTTTTCCATTTTCCCATATTTTCCCTTTTGCTCAGTCCTGTCCTTTACTCTCCATCCAAAAAAGATGTCTGTGTATTGCACCTTCTTTACCCTGAACCCAACCCCAAACTGCTGTTTGCTGTTTTCCTGCTTCTCTTTCCATATTTTCTGGCCTCCCAAAATGTAAAAGGAGGAACACAATAAATTTATCATGTAAACTTTTGGGTCATCATTTGGGCTGGGTTGGCAACTCAACTGATGTTTGTTAAATGAATGCCTTGTGCAAACAACTGTCTATTTTTGCTGTGGATACATCACATGACCCTCTGGAAGTTTGTAACCCAGTTATAGAGGCATGCAATAAACAAATTCATTAAAATGTAACATAACTAAGACAGAGAACAAAAAGGTTGTTATTTGATGTGGTTGTCATGAAAGATTTCACTGAGAAGCTTAGACTCAAGTAGCAACATGAATGAAGATGTGGAAGAGATGCTGTAAGCCATAAGGAACAGCATTCCAAGGGTGAGAAGAGGAGGTGCAAAAGCTTCAGGATAGGAGCACATGAGGTGAAAACTACAAGGAACACACAATGAGACATTTTTAGGATATAACCCAATGCAGACTCAGAGAGGCTAGCGGCCACAATAAGGACTCTGAAAATTTACCTGATCATGATGAGAAATCATTGACTATTTGAGAGCAGAGTATGACATACTTTTTCTTGTAAAAATAATGATGCATATTTATGTAACCTTCAGTGGTGCCAACCCCTCTTCCAAGTCTTTTACTTACACAAGCTCATTTCATTTTAAAACAGAATTGGGATAAAGATATTATGATGATTCCCATTTTATAGAGGATAAAACTGAAGCACAAAGAAGTTAAGTAACCTGACAATGTTAATATGTTATAGCAGTTGAACCTGGAGTCAGACAGTCTGGCTTCAGAATCTTTGCCCTTAATTTCTGGCGTATATTTATTCTGAGTTTCATTTAAAAGAATTTCTGAAGTGTGAGGAGTAGATTTGTTGGACAAAAGTTTAAGCAAGCAAACCACTGAAAGAAGAGAGGACAGTAACTTGGAATGTGGTGCTTGTGGTGGAGGGGAAGATCATTGTTCAGATTTGAGATGTATTCTGAATTTATTGGAAACAGAAAGGTTGGGGATGGATTGCATCTCAGAGAAAAAGAGGAATCAAGGAGAACTCACTTTTTGATCTGATCAACTGGGTAAAACATGGTATTTCTTGCAAAGGGGGAGAAATGGAGAGGAGATGGGTTGGTGAGGAACAGAATTAAAGAGTTAAATATGTAAATATATGAAGAGTTGAATATGTAAATATATGACAGTGCATAAGTCTGTCATTTGGACTATGGATTTAAATTCTCAGGTCATTATCATATAGACATTTTAGAAAGCTATGTGTCTGGATAAGGTCCCTGCAGGAAGAAATATAGTCATTCCAAAGATGGAGCTCTGGGACATCCCTGCTTTCAGAGATTGTGAAAAAGGGTAGGGATTCAGGAGAAAAAAAAAAAAATCTAATGAAGATTAGTAGATGAAACAGGGGTAAAACAAAGAGGTAAGAAAGAAAGTCAAGAAGCAATAGGTCAAATGTGCATAACGTTGGTAATAGGTCAACTAAAATGAAGATTAAAAACTGACTTGGAGGGCTGGGGATTTAGCTCAGCGGCACAGCGCCTGCCTAGCAAGCGCAAGGTTGTGAGTTCCCAGTACCGGAAAAACTAAAAAACCAAAACCAAAACTGACCTTGGGTTTTGGCAAAGTGGAGGTCGTTAGTGACCTTGAATATGAATGTTAGGGACAGAAGTTTGATTGGATAAAGTTCAAAGTAGAGAAAAACCTGAGGCCCTTTACAATTTTAGGAAGATGATTTAAGATATCTAAGTGGTGGAGAATAGTAGCAGGGTGAAGAAAAAAATATAATGCTGTTCCCAAATACTTTAATTAATTGCAAAATATGTTACTGAGCACCTCCTACATGGCGAACACTCTCAGGCACTGAACAGCAAGGACCTTTCATCTTCTTTCATTCACTCACTTGAGAAGAGGTTATTCACTGAATATTTATTAAGTGATGGATTTTAAAAACATTTTTCATAATTGTCACAGTAAAGTTTTGGTATTAACACAAACTTTCAAAAGAAAAATTATGACTATGCTGTCATAATCTTAACAAATTTTTCACATTTCTTTTAATTGCTGTCCATATTTCCATAACTTTCATATAACTTTATTAATCATATTGCAAATCTTTTTTCATTGTAGATATATTCATGTAATATGATAATTATGACAGCAAACACATAGCATTGGTCAACCAATTGTTTTCATTGCTGCCTGTCTTAGTTATTTTCCTCTTGGTGCTGAGACAAAATACCTGACCCCCCAAATTAAAGGAGGAACGGTTTATTTAGCTCATAGTTGGTAAAGGTTTCAGTCCATGCTCGGTTGGCTCCAAGGAAGGGTGGCCTGGCAGAGGGGCAACCAGTCATGGCTGTGGAGGACACCAAAAATGAGAGAGGAGGGGATAGGAAGCCTTTTTCCCTCCCTTACATTGTATGCAGGCTACCTGCCCTAGGGCGGTGTAGCACTCACACCCTAATCCCAGCATTAGACCATGAATTAATCACTGATTCTAGATTCAGCCGCCTCTGAAAATCCACTCCCTCCAAAGATCACATGAGGCTTTGGGGGACATCCAGACACAAACCGTAACACCAACTAATCATGTAGTCTTCAAAATACTCTGTGTTTATTAACTTAATTCCTTTTATCTTTGTTAAACTGTGTGTCACCCCTCAAAGCCCAAAACTACATCTAGTTCATTCTTGAATTACTGTCGCCTGCATGGTTTCTGGGTAGCACAAGAGATTGTATACTGGGGCATTTAAGAACATAAATGCTGACTGCCTGTGTTATTTTGCATCTTCCACTTATAGATTTGTACGTGTTGGGCTATGTTGTTTAACTTCTTTTCAGCTCATCTATAAAGTGCAGAGAATAGTAGTATTCTATAAGTTGTGAGGGTTAAGTGAATTATTAAAGTCCTTATGATTGTATTGCTACTTTGTAAGTCCTACACATATAGGTGCTTAATATGTGTGCTACATAAGAAAAAAAAGGTTGGTGCCTAAAACATGTTTACTGAGTGAGTAAAATAGAAGTTTTATTCTTGATATGGCTAATGTTTTAAATGCTTTTAGGGTTATTTCCTCTTTTGCCTCCGTGACACTTTAGTGTGCATATACTATCTGCTAGGTGTCTAGAGATAACTAAACATTTCTTGGGATACATTTTTCTAAGCGATGTCAAGAAGTGATGTAACATGACCATTTGTGTGGTGCTGGTCACCCTGTTATGGCCATCTTGGTAAGTCCAGCTGCCCTGGGCAGCTGCAGGCTTGCTCTTTGAGCTCCTTACAGTTGCAGCAAGACAGGGCTTCTCTCGCTCCACTTCTGCCCCTACTCACCCTGGAGGCTTTCTTTTTCTCCATCTTTTTCTTTCTCCTTAACTGCTTCCTCTGGATTTCCATCTTCCGAAAATATAATTTAAGAAGATGCGATTGTCTGGAGGTGGGGGAAAAGTCAAGGAGATGACACCGGCAAAGACACGCGTGAAGAGCTGGGCCAGCTTGGCAGATTGCCTTGGTTAACGAGTCTCAGAAATGGGAACAGGGCTTGATGGGCCCTACCAGCCAGGGGGAAATCTTGCTACAGCGGCTGTAATCCCAGCTACACCGGTGGCTGAGGCAGGAGAATTGCAAGGTCCAGGCCAGCCTGAACGATTTAGCTAGAGCCTGTCTCAAACTAACAAAACGAAAAGGGCTGGGAATGTAGGTCAGCGGCAGAGTGTCTCTGGGCTCCAAGGAGAATTCTTCGGGGAAATGAGACTCTCATTGAGCTAACAAAGCTTACAACAGAAAGCTCTTGAATGAGGGAGCTGATTTAGAGAAAGTCACTATAGAACTTCTCAAGAGGATGATACGAGTGTCATCCAGAGCGACAGTGGGCAGCTGAAGGCCTTTGAAACCTGGAGGAAGGAGATGAGAGGAAGGAAATCATTCTTTTGAGATTATTCGTTTGATAATCTGTCATCCATCCATCCATCCATTCTACATATACTGAGCGCCTACTTTGTGCCAGGTGCTGTGCTAAGTAGTGATCACACACCAAGGACAGTACAGATTCAAGACCCACTGCTTGTTCCTGTGACTGTCACTTCCAACTCAGCCAGAGCTCTGGACGTGGACCTCAGCGATGGTTTTCTGCATCTTTCTGTTGCTCCGTGCTGGGCACCCGGTGGGCGCTCCCATGGCCTAGCCCGGATTGACTCAGGGCCCCGCAGCCTCAGGGTTAAAAGCCCGGAGCAGGGCGGGGGTGGCACCCTGTCAACTCGGAGACCAGGATCTGGCAGTGAGAGCTGCGTGCGCCTCTGTGCACGCGGGGGCGGCTCTGCCGGGGGCGCGGGGTGCAGGGCGCGCGCTCTCTCCCGTGC